AAGTGAAGTTTTGGAGGACATCAGGGAAGAGGAACCTCCAAAAATGGGATTGGGAGAAGATCAAGGAGCAGGAACCATCAAAAATAGGGTTTGGAGGACATCAAGGACCAGAAACTTCCAAAAATGGAGTTTGGAGGTCATGGTGGACCAAGAACCTCCAAAAGTGAAGTTTTGGAGGACACCAAGGAGCAGGAACCACCAAAAATGGGGTTTGGAGGTCACGGAGACCTCCTGAAAAGCCCAGAGAAGGTTCCAGGTGCTCCCATGTCCACCAGGAACCCCAAAAGAAACCAAGAACTCCCCAAAAACCAAATCCCACCACCCAATGTGAGGTCCCACCACCCAAAAACGAGATCCTACCACCCAATTTCAGGTCCCACCACCCAATTTGAGGTCCCAGCACCCAATTTGAGGTCCCACCATTCAAACCAAGATCCCACCACCCAAACCAAGGTCCCACCACCCAGTTTGAGGTCCCACCACCCAATTTCAGGTCCCACCACCCAATTTGAGGTCCCACCACCCAAAAATGAGGTCCCACCACCCAATTTCAGGTCCCACCACCCAATTTGAGGTCCCACCACCCAATGTGAGGTCCCACCACCCATTTGGAGGTCCCACCACCCAATGTGAGGTCCCACCACCCAAAACCAGGTCCCACCACCCAATTTCAGGTCCCACCACCCATTTTGAGGTCCCACCACCCATTTTGAGGTCCCACCACCCATTTTGAGGTCCCACCACCCAAAAATGAGGTCCCACCACCCAATTTCAGGTCCCACCACCCATTTTGAGGTCCCACCACCCAAAAATGAGGTCCCACCACCCAATGTGAGGTCCCACCACCCATTTTGAGGTCCCACCACCCATTTTGAGGTCCCACCACCCATTTTGAGGTCCCAGCGCCCAGGGACCCCTCGGGGCCGCCCACCTCATACTCGGCGAACTTGGAGGAGTCCTCGAGGACCATGTCCTCCTTCTTGGGCGGCGCGTCGCGGGTGGCCAGGGCCAGGCAGCGCAGGGTGTCCCTGCCCGTGCCCCACTCCCGGATCACGGCCTGGATCTTCTCCTTGACCGCCGGCGTCAGCGGCACCCGCGCCGTGCCCACCCGGACGTAGCTGCAGCGGTCGATGACGCCCTCGGGGGCACCCTGGGGTGGGAC